TTTCTGTTCAGATTTGCATTAGCTGAACTTGAATAGTTGGATTTTCTTTAAGTGACCAAAGACCATTATCTGGTATTTGTAAGTAAACAGAATTAATATACTTCATTTGCATAATATTCTGCATTATGATAAAAATATTATGCAAACTCTTATTAACTCTTATTAAACCACTGTAACAGCTGTCAAGCTGCCTCTCAGTACCAGAGGATTTAGGAACAAAAACTGCACAGCAGTGATTTCTAGAAGAAAGATTTGAGTTTCAGGTCTGCCTTTCATGAGGGCTAATTTTGCAAATCATGAACAATGTCATGTTGGCTTTAATTAAAGACTAGTGTTAAGGGGTATGTCTGATTCTGTGAGACATTATTTGTGAATTTTCTGCTAGCTGAAACTGATCTGATACCTGCATTTTTGTTTTAGTCAGACACTTTAACATCACGTTTTCAGAAATGGTGGAGATTTTTTTCCACATTAGCACGTTAAGCACAGAATAAGGAATTCCCTGGTTGTATCTGTGTGTGTTTTTCATGAATAGGTTATTATTGAGGAAAGAGGGAACTCAGATTACAGGATGTTTGTGACTTTAGGGAATAGTGTTTTTTTTCCTGCTTACCTCACTGGTCGTTTCATTTGGTGGTTCCTTTTCATACTGGTAGAAATATTATTTTCATTAAACTGACCCTGTGCTTTTCTACAATTTGCACATGCTTTGTATAAGGAAGAGTGTTTAAAAAACTGGATAACATTTTTATGTCTTTAAGACATAGCTCACAAAGACTGTATTACTTAAAGGCCACAAGAAACCTCTTTATTCCTTGTTGCCAAGATAGTTCTAAAGTCGGAAAACATTGAAATGGAATACATTTCCTAATAATTTAAACCTGTTGTTTGCACACTTTTCTTAAAGTTGCATTTAATATAGACGTTTGCCAGGATCAGGATAAGTTTTGTGCAAGACGGACCAAACAATTTTACTACAAATCAGGGTAAAATTCACCTGCAGTTATACAAAGAGATCTGTTTTTGTATTCTGTTTTCATGTGTGCAATGTGGAAATTTAACACATGGGCCCCCATTACATGTGCCTGTGCTGGGGTATATCTGTGGGTCTAGCCTTGGAATGTCTCTATTCCTAGGTCAGATTTTGGCTGAACAAAGATTGTGTGAGCATTAGTGGAGAACAAGGAAACAGATCAGTTTGTGAGCTTTCTTCCTTCTATTGGAGAGCTCTGGGGTTTGCTTTTTCCTTTGAAATTTAGTTCACTGGGAATGCCTCCTTACTGACCACACCCAGGTTCTAGCTGAATTGCCGGTGCCTGTGAAATGTACTGTATGAATTTGGCATCAGGTTTCTCTAAATTACAGCTCCACAGTAGCTAAAACTGCTATAAAACCAGAGGGGATGACAGGATATCAGGGGCTTGAAAAACAAAACACTTTTCAGGCTCGTGTTTTATTTTCAGGTGTGCATCCTATTCATAGAATCTACAGTTGAAACTGTAATAAAACAGGAAAATCTCCATATTGTCCAAGAGAATACAGTAAATGTTGCTCCTCAATCAGATACAGATGGAGATGAAAGATGTAATGTATAGATGTAGCTAATCTTTAGTTTAATCAAATATTTCTGCGTGTATGTTCATTCTTTTTAGTTTTGTATTCATTCATCTCTGTCCGGCACTCAAGTAAATGTGGGAGTGGCTGTCCTTGTCACAATAAGCCTAGTCACGCCACCAGTGGACAGGAATGGGCAGGGAGCAGCCGACGCCACAAATAGGAGGCTGGTTTTGTTCACAGAAACCCGTCAGGTTCAAACCTCATAATTCATGATGGGAGCGCCAGTCTATACACAAAACCTCCCAGTCTTCACGAAAAGGAAAACTACTCCTTGGAGAGGTGCCCCCCCACTTTGACGTTTCACAGGGAATGTGTTCCTCCCTCTCTCCTGGACTCACACCCAACCATTCCTAACTGGAAGCTAGACTCCACTTGAACTGGCCGCCTTCCTAGTCTTAACCTGCTTGACCACTGTGCCCGGTGTGCATGAAAGGCACATATTGTACAGGACAATCTTTGGATGTGTTTGGAAGATCAGGAAACTCAAAATATTTGTTTTCAAAAATAAAGTCTGGAATTGGGAGTTAATTCTTAGCTCATGTCCTGCCTGTTCTAGAACTGCCAAATGTTAATCCTCCCAGTTTACCTGTATGGCTGTTGGATCAGCACAGGAAGGCCGAGTCTCATGCATGTGCACAGCCAGAGGTATTTTCTTCTTTTTCAAACACCGCAAGGCCCAAAGTGCGTGCCTGAGATGGCACATGCTGACAGTGAAGGATAAATGCATTTCTCTCTGTCAACACTGGAAGTTCACATGTGTGTCCAGTATGTCACTGGGTCCACACTTGTGAGGACAACTTGGTTGGCTCAACGTCTTGTGCCCATCATAGTCCTTTAGGGACATAAACTGGTGATGGTTGTGCTATGAGGTTCAGTCTGAATTCTAACCTAAGGTCCAAATAGGTGGAATCTGTCTGGACTTTACACTTCATTTTGAAGGTTTAATTTAAAGAATTTGCAACAAAATGTAAAATAGCAGCATACCCTCACTTATAAAGCTTACATATGTTCTCTAATGTAAATGAAAAACAACTCCTTAATTGTTTGAATTAATCAAAACCAAACTCTCTTTGTGTTTTGCTAAGACTTTCCCAACACAAGGGGCTTTTTCATCTGAGGTCAGCTGCTTTCTTTCATGGGATAAATTACATCACTTACACCAAATTTGGCATGTCATTGATTAGAACAGGGGCAAAACAATGAACTCAAAAAACACGATGAGGTGTACATTCCAAACGTGAATCAATACAGCAAATACCTAAGAACAGTGGGTTAGAAACAAAGCATTCATTATCATTTATTAATGACAATGTAAGTTTGTAAGTTCTCAGATTTACACAAACTACCCTTCTCCTTCCTGAAAGTACTTTCCATGTCTCCAGAGAAGTGTTTTGCACTTTGTGATACATCAAAAAGAGTGTGAGGGCGGAGGTCTGTCAGGAGAATATGTTAATATCATACAAATCACTCCAGTTTTCTGCAAGTAACCTATTGGATTATAATAATTACTTGCTTTTTGTGTAGTATTTCCCATCCACAAGTATCTCAAAGCTCTTTCTGTTTAGGAGTTGATCCATTTCTATATTTTAGTAGTGTGATGGCTTTTCCCAGCTTCCATTCAGGATGACTGCTGTTTGTTTCCACCTTTTTTATTGCTTTCACACATAATAGTGCAAACTGCACCCAGCTGCAAACAGCTCTAACAGGCTTTGATTAGCAGCGAAGGAGGGTGTGTCTGGGGTGGAGGATAAGAAGGGGAAAGAGGAGGCTTGCAGGCAGCTGCACTTTGCTATTCTGAGCTCCTGACTTCATGGCTGTAATATGAAGGTGCCACAATCCAATACCATCAGTGAACATGTCGACTGTCCCTCGACTATCATTTGGCTTGTTTGTGCCGTGCAAGATGAATCCGTTGTATTCTTAAAGAGCTGGGATTTTCTTCAGTTTGGCATGTGCTGCAGAAGTGTGCTTGCTTTCCTGACTTTGGTGTTAAAAAGAAAAACTGCTCCACGTGTTTAGATCACAACAGGCAGATGAAACTAAATCCTTTGATTAAAGGTGTTTAGTAATGTATACAGGGGAGGTTATTAAAACCTGGTTGCAGGACAGGATTTTATTAACTAAAAACAAGAATCACTATGTGATTTAAATACATACAGATTCATACAGTTTTATATATATATACAGATCTACTGTACAGTATTAGAGATTTAATTGTCTGCACATTATTTTGTGTCTTTTATGTGTGGAGTGTGTTTATATGTATGCAGCACACATGTATTTATTTGGTAGTAAATGTGCTTTCATATTAAGAAATGCTTATTAAACAGCATTCGATCTTAATATGAGCAGACTTTCTAATTTTATCTGCGAATGCCTGCTTACTGCACACTGCCAGCTTTCATGCCAGAATATCCCCCACTCCCTCCCAGTGACAATTTTGCCCTATCTGTGCTGCACCAGTTCCAACAGCTTGTGAAATCCTGTTCCCAAAATGTGCCTCGCCCTGTAATTTCCAGGGCCCAAATGGTTTTGCTGTTAAATTTGCAGCAAGCTCACCTTCCAGCTGTAATGGTTTGGAGATCGTCTCACCCAGCGGGCGTCACCCAGGCCTTAATTTAATCCCTGCTGAACTGACAGAACCCCGGCCACATCCCTATCCCCAGTGTCCTTTCCTTATACCACTTCCCTCTGTTGAATTTACTTGGATCTTTTACAGGGCAAAAAGAAGTTAGAGAAAAAAGACCATTTCTCAATGTGAACAGATCTGCGAACAGTGGAAACTACTTATCAAAAAAAGCGATGTCAGGACAAAAAGTGTTTGATAGCGAGAAACAAGGGCAACCTCTGAAAATAAAACTGTAAAAATGACTAAAGAGCTAGTGTCAAGGCAAATGGCCAAACCTTGGAAAAAACTGGCTCAAAATGCACTAAAGTTTCCACTAATTTCACACATCCCCAGACTCCACTTCTCCAAGGCAGGATGTAGTCAGGTCGGCATTTGAGCTGAGCTGAAAGTTTCCAGTAGTACACTAGTAACTTCATGGCACACTTTTCCAACTTCTGTAAACACACTGCCAATACATTCATCACATAACAATACAAATGAACCTTTGTATGAGATGATTTTGTATAATACATATAGAGCCTTTTGGCCAAAGGAAAAAAAAGCTGCATTTTAATTTCTTGGAAAACTGAACCAATTTGAAGAATTTAGATGTTGTATTTCAGCTGATACACACCTCAGTCTTATTTCAACATCTCTCCAACCCAAGATACCTAGCAGGTAGCACAAAAAAAAATCACATATATTTCCCTCAGACAATGTCAAAAACACTACCATTGCTTGCTACAGTAAAAGAAAGGTAGAAAGTGGTACTCACTTAGAAGAAATAGTGTATAAAGAAATAGGGCTGCAGCCAGCTTTCCTTTAGATTCATTCATTCTCCCTCCTAGTGTAGCCATCCCTTCTCTGAGAGCGCAGCTTTCTGTTCTGTGTGAATGGAGAGCAGTGTGGGCTCCTGGAGCTCCGCGTTAAGAGTTTCCTCTGACTGTGAGTGTAGCAGCAGCACTGTGCTGGGGGTTTCCTTCAAGCTAGCAGGATAAAGCAGTGCTTATGGTCTTAGTATAGGCAGACAGTTTTATACAGCCCCTCATTACCAATACTCCACACCCCTTTTCTCACTGGCTCCTTTAACCCTTTGGCTAGGCTGTTTCAGCTGGCCTGGAAGCGTGCTGGAGAGCTGTAGTGTGAAGGCTGAAGACACAAGGCTCTGATCTCAAACTGAACATGTGCTCTCTGTGTGCGTCAGTGTGTGTGTCCACAGGTAAACATTTTTAACCCCCTTTGGGACTACTTTATAAGGTTTTCATGCTTTGTGCACTTCTAACATGTTGATTTATTTGCAGATAATTTGCACTAACAAAGATTGTAAAACGATGTCCAAATAAACAGGATCCAGGATTTAGACACAGGGTAGAGTACAAGGCTTTGTGTAGGTTCACAATTAAAATAACTTTTTGGATGTCTGCCAGGGTTGCCATTTTGTGTCATGTAATTATATTGTTTTCTGCTCTAGACATGTTCATTTCTCAGAGTTGAAAGTTATGTTCCCATCTTTATCTCGGATTCCATAACAAATATATTCATTCAGTGATATTTACAAACTAAAAAAAGGTTTAAATAATCTCTTCAATATCCACACCCTCTCCTGTAAAAACTCAATCCATGTTTATATGACTTTCCTTTGGCCCTGCTATGTGACAGATTTCCATATGTCAGTTCACAATCTTCAGTCTTCAAGAGCTGGCTGCAGCAGCTGTTCATTTACAATAAGACCCAAAATGACAAATTTAAAACCAGATAAATGATAAGCTTTGGTAAGATATGCACTGAAGTGCTTCTTGTGCCACTCAAAGGAAGAAATTCCATTTTAGAGTTAAAGACATGGGTGACAAGGCAGTAGTAATTCTTCTGACAATACACAATTATCAAATTAATGTCATCCGTGTAATACGATTAACCGAGCCTGTTGCTGCTTTCGCAGATCTGTCTTGTAAACAGGAAGAAGACTAACCAACCCAAATTGCATAAATAATTAACAGAATCCTAAAAAAAAACATGGTGTATTATGTAAAGAACCCATGCTGTGCTGTAGTTCTGAAGCATTTTCACTGTGTTCCTTCTCAAACAGAAGAGTAAATCACTAAGCCTTAAGACACATACAGTCTCATGTGCAACATGTTCAGAATCAAACAGTTGTTCTCTCTTTTCATTTCTGACAAAATAAGGAACATAAATACATTGCATCATGTGTCTTTTGCTCATTATTTGTTAATGTAAAAATATTATTATTAACAATAATCCATTGCATTTGAATTACGATCTTTTCACCCTGAAGTATCCCAATTTCCACAAGCATATGAACATGCCATTAGACATACATCTCTTACATATTGAAAGTATACTGAAAGCTTTATCCCCAAGAAATGATCTTCAGAAGAACAGTGAATAACACAAACCAGAAGATTATTATTATTAATTTAGAGAATGTTTCGTTCATTTCATCCTCCTTTCACGTCATAGCATGTAGCATATTAAGTTCTGCTGTTTTATAAGCTTATAAAGTTTCAGAATCTTTTTATCTCAAAAGAAACTATAGACTAATATACTGTATATTTCAGCATGCCAATACTATTTATATAATATATCTCCAGTATGTAGGCTATTTGATACATAGAGTGGCTGCTGAGGGTATACACATGCAACATCTGGAACTCTTGACTGGAGTAGGAGTTTCCCGGGCTACCCTGCTAAATGCCTGTTTAAACAACTGTACCAGATGAAGGCCGATTAAGCCAAGATGAGCATCTGGGTTTCTCTTAAATGTTTTTTTTTTGTAATGGCTAACCATATACACCACCCTATCCCCCCTCCCTTCCCCGGGGCAGCTCACTGTGTATCAGCAGTATTCAACGAAAGCGCCGGAAATCGGTGGTTGAAACACGCCTGTGGAGATCTCGGCCTGTGCCGGGTGACGCGGTGTGCTGCTCATTAAAACAAACCAGGGCTGGGGGAAGACCAAAGGGCCTGTGCACACAGACTGGCACTGGAGGTGGAAGAGAGGCCAGAACTGAAACAGCACACTTTACACATTGAAGTGTTCAAGCCTTCCAACAGACCCTTTCAGCACTTCATCGATGGGTATCAAATACCAGTCCCCAAAGACACAATTGAAACAGAACGTTTCCTGAAGCATTCATCCATCCCTGCTTCTTTCCTTTGCAATTTATTCAAAGTAGGTGACTGGGGGATCCGGGGTAAGGGAACAGACCAAATGCAGAGCTTTTTTTTATTCTGACACTGACTGATTCGTGTATTGTTTTGACCTGCAGTTGATAGCTGTTGGTATGCTAGAGATGGGTGATATTGTTTCAAGGGCTCTGTTGAACAGGCCCAGGCTTGGTCTCTCATAAGGCATTGATGTTATTGAACAGATGTGTTGCGCTGGTGCACTGGCATTGCAGGGACATTCTCTTCCCTTGCAAACAGACATCTGATTTTTTTTCCTGTTGTGTTTGACTACTGTTCGGCGCTTTCTGTCTGGGGCAGGACTGTTGTGTTGATGTGTTGCATTTTGTAATGCTTTAATTTTCTGAAAAGGAAGAAGTAGAAGCCTTGTATGGTGAGTAATGTTTGGGAAAAATTCTGATAAATGCATACTTTTATCAGACAGTGTTAGATAAGCACTGGATAAATCTCTTGTTGAATCTCTAGAATAGTTTCTTTGCAATTCCAAGTGAAGAGAGTCAAATGTCTGAAAAGTGTGGTATGATGCTTGGTGATTACAGGTACCACCAGATCAATTCGTAACAATTGTGGCATTGGAGCTCACTGCTATCCTAAAACCCTCTTTATTTCTGCTATTTCACTGGCTAACCAGGACTGCCATCACAGAAGAGCACATACTGTATCAAGAGTTTTTGTCCATCTTGCTTGCTTTTGTGCATCTTGCATTACTCTTAAAGACCAAATACACCACAGTTTTTTTTTCCAAAGCCTTTTGCAGGATTTCCTAGTAGAGATGCTTCATAGATAAAGAAGTTATATCAAGGAGATTGAGCTCTAGAAGATTTGGACATGCATTTTTCTGCACAAGACTGGTTTGGAAGTGCTTCACAATTCTGATGCATTCAAAAGAGGCATCATTCTTGTTAATTCCAGAGATTAAGCCAGGCCCGGCTCTACAGGACAGATGTGGCCAGTGCAGAGTGAAATGAGTCTCTTCTTGTTGGACAGCAGTGACCCATGGGACAGGTTGGGTACCTGAGAGTTGTTTGAGTGCACGAACATTTTTTTTTCTTCCATTCCCTCTGTGTGCTACAGGGCTTGTGGTGTTTGTATGTAAGCCACGTCAATAATTAATTAGTTAATTTTAAAAAATGGAGGCTGTACAGTATATAACAGAAAAATAACTGTCAATTCCACATGACATCAGAAATTTACTTGTTGCACAAGATGGTATTGAATACTGGATGGGACGCCACTACACCATAGAGCACACACAGAGGGAAAAGGTAGAGATGCCAATTCATCTAGTCAGCATGTCTTCAGAAGGTGGGAAGAAACTGAAGTACCAGATGAAAACAGAGAACATGTATGCTGACTTCCATGCCACTATACCACCCACTTAGCAATTCCAAAAGGGATTTAATTGTATACTTTTACCTGCATATTTGTGATATTTAGTAACATACTATGTAACTAAAATGGGTTTAGTTTTGAAGATCTCGATCAGCAGTAATCTGCACATATTTACGTAAATTAATACTAGTCAGTTAAGCATTAGTGGATTAAAAACAGTCTGGAATGTGATTTCTATGCCAATGCTTAACAAGCTCAAGAACATAAGAATAGTCACAGATGAGAAGAAGCAATTGATCCATTAAGTAACTATTATCTAATTGGGTGAACAATCTTATTCAGCCATTTCGTGACATACACCACGGGTATTGGGAATCTTTACTCTTTGGGTAAAGAAGTGCTTCCTTTGCTCAGTTTTTAAAACCGCTCCTATTTGTAATCTTGGGTTTGTGTTTCGCTTTTGATCCCTAAACGTTTCACTGAGTTGATCTTTTTTTGAGAATTGTGAATTCTTAAATCAGGTCTTCTCTGCCCCAGATTACAAAGGTTCAACTCAGCTGGCCTGTAAACCTGTCCGTGTAGTTCGCAAGAAATCTAACATTAGAGGTACATTGTAGGCGGCTGGGCGGGGGCTGTGTCCCTGTCAGCCTGGTGCTTTGCAAAGCGGTCAAGATGCACGAAGAGTCTGCCTGCACAGGAAACATCAAGATCATTTTGGCAATTGCAGAAACTAATGTGTCCAATGAGGCGTGACTACAAGGGCGCAGTCACTCAGCGCAGGACATGGGATTGCTCAGCGGGTCACTGATTTGGCTTCTTACTCGTTGAGATACTCCACCCACTCCAAAACTCACTATAGTCCCATACCAGCGCCAGGTTAGATCCAAACTTAATCTTTCTTTTTCTGTTCTTGAACTTCAATTGGAAACAGCAACGACGCCTCACACACACACCTGGTTTTAATTTCCGATGAGAAAAGGATAATGATTTCTTTCTGTTTCTCTGCTCCCATCCCCCCCCCCTTCTTTTTCTACAAGTGGGTTTGGAATTGACTCACTTCAGAGGCGGTCTGTTATGGTTCTACACAAAACTGCACTGTTGAGAAAAAAGGGGGAAAAAAGTTGATTAGCTTGTCTTGACTCTGGACTTTTTTTTTCTGTTGGCTGTGCCTACAACTTTGAATGCTGGCATTCACCACAAAGATACTGTTTATTTATTGTTTGGGCTCTGAAATACATCACATGGGTATGGGGGTGGCAAGGAAGGCCCCCAACCCCCATGACCTTGTTTAGTTTTTGGATTTTCACTGTCACACAGCCAGCTGGCAGGGGGACAGCAGGGCATGACTGACACATGAGTCGCTGGGACGCAAAAATAATCTGTCTATTAATAGAGTAGCTTTTACTTTACTAACTTGCTACACTATATGCAACTCACTTAAATTTGTTGGCACTCTGTATG